TCGAGGCCAGCCTGGTCTCCAGAGCGAGTGCCAGGATAGGCTCCAAAGCTACACAGAGAAACCCTGTCTCGAAAAACAAAACAAAACAAAACAACAACAACAAAAAAGTAGGTAAGACCTCTGACCGAGCTCTTTATAAAAAAAACAAAAAACAAAAAACAACAACAAAAAAAACCATAGTTTTAAAATGCCGCGCAATAGTTGTGTATGATCATTAGCAACTTAAGAAGTAATGCAATTAAAATGAAAGGTATATTTTCATTCACCCACAACAGAGAAGTAAGTAGTAGCTCTTCCTATGAGCAAAGCAGCGATGAAATAAAGGCCTTGGCAGGCTGAAGGACTTTACTCTCTTTCTGTTTAAGGTATATCCCTTCGAGCAGCAGCCTAACAATGGCTGGGAGCCGGTGAGATTTGCACTCTTACTTCACATCGCTGGGCTGGGGGCTACCTCTTAATGGGCACTGGCACATGTGAACACATTCATGTTGGAGAAGAGCACCCTCAACATGGGGCTCTGCAGCAGACTGTTCAGGGGAGAGAGGTCTGGTAATATCCTTCAAGAACTTAAAAAATATTAATGTGGTTTTTGTTTGTTTTCTCAAGATAATGTTTCTCTGTGTAGCCTTGGCATTCCTGGAACTCACTTTGTAGACCAGGCTGGCCTTGAACTCATGTAGATCCTCCTATCTCTGCCTCCTGAGTGCTGAGACTAACGTATGCCACTACCTCAGGCTAAAAAAAGTAATTAATGTGTTTTAAGCCAACAATTTAACATGGACATGGTTATCTGAAATAATCAGAGAAAATAATAGATGTATGTACAGAGGCCACTAAAATCATATTCTGAATAGCAAAACATTTGGCAGCAAGTTAAATGTCCGGGAGCGGAATGCTAACTAGGTGATTGGATGATTTGCTGTTATTAAAAATAAAACTTTTATTGAATATTAAACATTATGGAAAATTTTCATGGCGTGTTAAGGAAAGCATGTCAGAAATTTATGGGCAGTGTAATTACTTAAAAGTAGTTGTTGTCAAACAAAATGTGTTCACATGCATTTCAGACTGGAAGAAGCATAACGTCATGTTTTCTCTGGCTCTTGGCTATTAAAATGCCATTTACTTTGCTTTACACAATCATGTTTCAACTGGAAAAATGTCACTTTGCAATCAACTAAAAGCTATGAGGGAAGCTCCACGGCCGCCTTTGCTGGCATCCAGCACACTGCTTCTTGTCAAAGTCTTGCTGGACAATTTTTTTTCTTTCAAATTTCCTGGCTTGAAAAAGTGCAAGATGGCAACTCATTATTGTTTTAATTTTGAGTTACTTAAAATTAATGAGTTCTACTTATTTTTAGAATCTGTTCTTGCAGCAAATAATTTGGCTACATTATTAAATAATGCAGATAACATTGTAAAATGAAAATGAATACTTGTTTAGTTCAATTTCCCTTGAAAATTTCCGATTATTTGGCTGTGTGGGCTTCAGTGAGATGAAGGCTCACACATCCCTCTTCTGTCCACTCACCCTGTTCTTATTATAAGTAACTTTGAAATCATTTATTATGGGAAAATTCTAACAGACACAACAAAAGCTAGAAAAAAAACAAGGGACTCATATGCTCATCAAACAACTTCAGTAATTATCAATTATAGGCCAGTCTTGCTTCCCTCTCTATTTGTCTTACATTATTTTGAGGCAAATTTTATAATCTAATTGGTATGCCACTCTGTTTCTACCTCTGAAAGAAAAGTGCTCTTAAACACATAGAAACAATGGCACTAGCTAGCTCACATTAAAATGGACAATTTTCCATCAAATACTGTCCCAGTTTTCATAATTTTTAGTTCCTTCCCCTCACTCTCCCTCACATTATTTGATTAGAAATAGGATTTTTAAAAAGTCAGCAGGTGCTACGAAAAACCACTAATGTCTCTCTGTCTCTTTCTCTGTCTCTTTCTCTCTGTCTCTCTCTGTGTCTCTCTGTCTCTCTGTCTCTGTCTCTGTCTCTCTCTCTCTCTCT